AGCTTAACCATGAGCAAAAATGTTAAAATTAAAATCCTTCTCAGCTTGTTTAAGAGCGTACATTTTGCTAAAAATGTTTTGCAAATTAAAATAATCCGTGAATACGCGAAAATGTACTCGGTATTGAAGAAAAATTATTATTAACGCAACAGCTATTTAAAAAATCCGCTAATAAAAGTTGATTAATTAATAATTAAAGCAGATTATAAATCAATAACTTCCGACTCGACAGTTGCTCTCGTATTCGTTGACTTTTTAGTCAACAGATGCCGGCTTTGAACATTTTTATTTTTATTGGAATTTTTTATCTGTCTGCTTTTTATCCTTTTATTATTTATGTGATTTATTTAGTTAGCAAATTTTAAAATGGAATTATCGTTAGCGAAATAATCCGTTTTAATGTGAAAGATAAATACCCATTTTAATTGACACATGTCAGGTAGTATTATTTCACTTTTTCATTTGTTGATTATCGATTACTACCATTTTCAGCTTTAACTATTCGACAAATTTTTTATCGATTTTTTTCAATCAATGTAAAGTGCAAGAATTTTTTTTTCTATGATTTATCACAATTGTAAACTTTTTGTCAAGGTTAAAGTCCGAACTTTTTTCAACCTGGATTCATGAAGAACATCAAAAACTATCTTTACAAAATTGCCTATATCTCCTCTGAAGTTGTTGTCAGTACATCAGTAGAAATAAGAGTACAAAATTTGTTAGGTATTGCATGGTCAGATCGGTTGAGAGCGAAAACCACTGTGATTTCATACATTTAAGTAGTTTTTCTTTTTTTTTCTGTCATATACATATACATCGCAACGGTTTGGTAAATATCCCTAAATTCCATTTTCGAATTCACATACGGGTCCTCCGTTTATAACGTTAGCGAGGGTGATCGCTGGGGAAATATAAATTGAATGAAACGCTTGGGTACTATCAAATTTTTTTATTTCCCTTTCAAAGTTCAGTTCTCATTATAATTTGGCTTTTTGACGTCAATATATAAGGGTATACACTTTCAAAGAAAATTCTTTTAAAAATTTTTCAAACCTACATTTAAGAATTCGTCTCGTAAATACATCGCGGTTGTCCTATTTCAAAATAGAGTAACTGATATTTCTTGAATTACTTCAAATTTACCTTATAAGAATGGGTTCACACTCTAAATTGATAAAACATTCGATTCAAAATCAAATCAGTAAATTCATTAATACACAGAAAAAATTGAATAGTATAATTTACTCAGATGTAACACAAGTAAATTTTGTTGTTTGAATAATGAGTCAATGCATGGTGGCCATTTTCATGATAGCTTGATAGACCTAAAAATTGCGCCCATGATTCCTATTTGATACTGTTGAAATTTTGTGCTATTGTTCTATGGATTAATGCCCCTTGATGAGGTTTTAAAAGTAGTGGACGTTTAAAAGTTTCTTCCATTTCCAAAAAAGTTCAAATTTTATCAAGTTCATCGAAACAATTTTTCAACTGTAAAAGATAGTTCAAATTCGATCATTTTATCTTTAAGTTTAATCGATTATTTTTATCTTTAAGTTTAAGTAGTATTTCGTCAATGACATTTTTGAGATACCCCATTTCACCCCTTCCTTCACTGAATGCATCATAGATTATTTTATATAATTATATAACACCATGAAATGCGGCAATTTATAACATTTTATATGGTTTTATATAATCATATTAGACGCTAGATTATATATTTTTACATACTCGAAAATTTTTAAAGAGCTTAATTTCTTATACTCAGTCTTTTTACGTAGCATAGTTTGATTATTTCTGATAATTATAACTTTTCGATTTGCTCAGGTGAATATATTTTCGGCCATATGTATTTACGTAAAGAATGAGGTTAATTAGAAGTGATATCATATTACTGCCGTGGAATTTCTACCATTCAAACGCGTTTATCATTATATCTCAAGATAATTAATACGTGGATATTTTTTTCGAGTTCATTGATTGAAAATGAAAGATAAGTATACAAAAAAGTTTAAATATACATTATGGCTTAATCATTCTGTTGAGGATAATTACATATTACATTGAAATAATTTAATATGTTATCCACATGATATTGAATATTTTATTCTTTTCGAAAAAAATCAAAGGTAAAATTACTCAAATTTAAGTTTTGAGTTCTCGACTGTCAGATAGTCACTGTAATTTTTTTACACTAGTGGAAAAAAATTAAGGGATAAAAAAAGGTCTAAATTTTTAGGGATTTTTCGAATGGCTGAATCTTCGTTAAAAATAGTTGTATCGGAGCCGTAATTTTTTTTTATCTCTTAATTTTTTCCACTAGAGTAGTACCTTTTTTCCTTTGAAAATAAAAATATCCTTATAAGGTTATTCTAAAAATGTAATGCATATAAAAAACAATGTAATTATATATTAAGCTCATATTTATTTTAAATTTGTAGTTTCTAAATACACCAAATAATTTTATTAGCAAAAATTTTACTACAAAATGAGGGGTTTGATTATTATTTGAGAAAATCCTTTTTTTTTTATTATTCCCAAAAGATTATTCCATTTGTTGAATGATTTTCTCATTGGTAGTTTTTGCTGTGGCTGCATCCTACTTAAAAAAGCTACAACAGACATTAAAAATTCAGTAATAATGTTAATTACTGATAACGATAAAGTAGATTTCATAAAAACACTTGACTTACTCCGATAGCCGGGCTAACGTTGATGCCACTTCTGAAAAATTCAATTAAAAGTTACAAGAATTGTTTTACTAAACTTTCATATGTAATAAATTAAGTTTAATTATATCTACAACCTCTATATCACACTAGTCCATAATTAATCACATTTAACTAATAACCGGTAAAATTACAGAATAGTAAAATAACCGCTGTTAAATTACCGAGCATTGAAATTGTCTCATTTTTGGCGATAAATAACTTTTAAAAGTTTAAAAACTAAGAATTAAGTTGATATTAGGCCGAAATTAATGACAAATAAATTGAGCGTGAACTAGTTTTCCTTACCCACTGTTAGTAGTAGAGACATTGTCAACATTTCCGCCACAAGTTGAACATCCTCTTCTTGAACCACTTCCACTGTTCGAAGGTCTGCTTTGACTGCCACCTTTGTTCAAAATACCGCCATTCAAGACTCCTCCGTTCAAAATTCCTCCGCCTAAAAGACCGGTTCCCTTTCCGCATCCACCAGAACAGGCTGCTGAGGTATAGGCAACCATGGCGAAGATAAAGAGGACAATTGCAAAACGCATTTTGTTTTTCTGTTTCTAAATAAAAAATTATTAATTAATTCTTTATTTTTATATTTTTCAGTCAAAAACTAATAAATATGACTTAGATGATTAGATCACTTACATTTTTTTTCTTTTCCTTTTGTTAAGTCAAGTTTTGAATTTGAGTGATTCTACAGTGGAAGTTTGCAGGTTATATACTCCATTATGTTTTGCTAAACGGACTATAATATAATATGGAATCCCATTGTTCTTTCTTAGAAAAACATTACCTGCGTCAATTTTAAAGAAGCAATAAACAGTTGTTTGTTATCGCAACTGCACAATGATGCTATCGACACAATTATATAAAATAAATAACCCAGTTTTTCAATTAGCTTTAGACGTAATTATTTGTTTGTTTATACAATTACTTTTTAAGCTGTACTAACAATTTCGATCTCCGGATCTTCATTAATAGAATTAATACAATTGTAATACTTTGAAGATCAGAGACAGAAAGATAGTTTTCGGTATAGTTATTAATACAGTTGTAATTTTGAAAAATTAATTTTATTTTGAATCGATTATTTTTTTAAATGATCGATAGTTGCAGGTTTTTTGAGGGAAGATGTAAAAATTATACATCATTATAATAATGATTTTCAATATGGATCTCATATTTTGACGCAAATATGAAATTCGTGTCATGAAGATCTTATTAATATATTTTATCTATTTAATTTCCGAAATATTCAGAGATATTATTTTTTTTTTATTAAGATGAAATTTAATTCATATATGTATCACTGATAAAAATTTTAACTTGACTCAAGAGCAAAAATCTTGAACCAAGAACACCAATTGGAAGAAAATGAATTTCTTGAGTCAAGAAGAAAAATTCTTGGGTCAAGATATATTTTCTTAATTCAAGAGAATCTACACGGGAAGAAATTTCTGGGAAAATTTACGATACAACTATTGTAAAGCTGGATTATACCTTTATTACTATTAATTATCAAATATTTTAGAAGAAAAAATACTATTTATTAATGAAAAAATACGATATTACTATTGTAAAAAGTAAGAGATGAAAATTTCCAGTGCTGCCTCTGTATCTTTCCAATAGAACTATAACAAATTTTACAATAGTTGAATTGGAATGTCTCTCAATTAGTGTGAGTGATGGCCGTGCACAGCGCTAGATTCTGAGTTTATATAAATGTTAAAGGACGTGGGTCTTAGTTTACCGCGGATAGCCTAAAGGGAGAGTCTCTGGCTACCAACACAGAGTTCTGGGTTCGATTCCCAGATAGCACGAAGAAAATTGTTTCTTTTTTCGATTACTGTACAGGTACCAATTTGTGCAACCTTCTATCTCTCTCCCTCCCTAATATTTCTTTTAAAAAAACCAACTGTGAATTTTTACAATAGTTGAATTGTAAAGTTCACAAACACATATTGTATAATTTGCTCTATAGTATTCGACTTTTTAAAACTCTTGCTAGTCTTATTTGTTGAATAAAATTTACAATAGTAGATCGTAAAAATTACTAAATGAGAAGTATAGTCCACCGTTACTATTTTATTTAGTAAAAATTACAATAGTAAAATAGTAATAACTCCTTCAATTTTCTTCCCGTGTATCTTGACTCAAGAATTTTTCCTCTTGGCTCAAGAAATTTATTTTCTTCCAATTGGTGTTCTTGGTTCAAGATTTTTGCTCTTGAGTCAAGTTAAAATTTTTATCAGTTTAGTTAAAATCTATTGTGAAATTATGGCGGAATCTGCAAAATTTCGTAATTATATCACCATGTCAATATCACTGTGATTTAATTATGCATTTCTGTATGTATAGATACCTCCATAATTTAATTGTGAAATTATGCAGACATCATGATTCCCTGAATCATTTTAATTTAAACTGATTATATGGGTTCGATTTCTTTTTAGTTAACACAAAATTCATTTTCTTAAATATTTCATCAACTGAATAAAAACAAAAGTAATATTTACATTAATCTCATGTTTGTGTGAAATATGAGATTCATTACGATATTTATAAGATAACGAATAGATCATGATATCTCATCATCTTTAAACATAGTTAACTATGTTACTGAATTTGTCAAATCCTAAAAAATTTTTTTTCATTTCATTAATTTCGATGATTCAATCTCAAGATATAGAACTACGCTACTTTACAAATCGTTATTTTACAATGAAAATATTTTAAATTAAAGTTTAAATTATTTCTCAAGAAAATTCTCAATAAGACTCTTATTTTTGGTCTCTTGCACTGATAAAAAAAAAACACCCGATCTAAAAAAAAAACCAATTTGAAAAAAAGTAAAAATTTTCGAAGGTGTAAGTAAATTCCACTTGATACTAAATGTTTTTTGTTTGATTGAAGATGACAAAATTAATCAATATGATCTTTTTGGCTCAATTTTTTTATACATAAATAAAATTATATTTTCTATTAGTTTAAATGCGAAAAACCTTTGAAAAAGTAATAATTTTTAAATTTTTATTCTGCAAATATAAGTTGTATAAATCAATAAAAAAATTCAGTTCCAATTGATTGAATTATTTATAAATAATGACGATAATTTATTATTGAATAGAAAAATTTGAAAAAAAAAAAAAATAAAACGAACAAACATCTCACTTTATTTTGAACAATTTATTGTGGTTTTGACAATAATATATACATAATACATATGTGTGATATGTATAGTAGAGAGAGAGAGAAAGAGAGCTATCATATAATCCTTTGTATAAAATTACCATAAATCTCTTCTCTATTGACAATTTAAATCAATGATATAAAAACTCCTTATAAGTAAACTGAATACTAAAAATATAAAAAATGTAGACGCATTTTTGGGACCGGTGTGTGACTATGCAATCGCCCCGGTGTCTCGATACGCCGGAGTGTGGGGCATCCCCGTATTGACGACCGGAGGTCAAGCGGACGCATTTCTGCATAAGGGTGAACATTACCCAACGTTGACCCGCATGATGGGCTCGCACCGTCTCGTGGGCGAAGCACTCAGACACATACTCCACAGTTTTGGGTGGACATCGGCGGCTCTTATTTACCACAACCACGCAATGGAGAGTAGCAAGGGACATTCCGAGTGTCATTTCACTCTCAGCGCGGTATTCTCAGCTCTCAACAAAACATCAGTACACAAAAGCTTCAATCAAGAGACCAACAACTTCAATGACTACCGGAATCTGCTTACCTTCGTTTCACATTCTGCAAGAAGTAAGTTCATTACCTCATTACCACTTTACCTTGGTTTTCAATCTCAATCATTTATTATATTCTTCTTTATGCCAATCATTATTCCCCATCAAGGAAATCAATAATTTAAAATTTTATTTATTCTTCCATCGAAAATTATTTATGATCTATTTTGTAAGAAAAATTTTATCTCCAGCGTATTTATGTGATAGATAATGTAATTTCCGGCTTAATTAACTCGAAAATTGTCTCTGAACAATGTAAAATATACTAAAGTAATAAACGATAATTATCTTAATATAATTTAGATGTAGTAATTATTACTTGCTGTATTTATTATTGGTTAATTAACAAAATTAAAAAAATTTTTACTTATAATTTTGAATAATAAACTGTTGATTGATTAATTGAGTTTACTTGCTCTGCTTTTTTTATATTTCAAATCTCGGTGTGAAATCGAAGCGCATTTATAAGCAGGAGTTATATTGCTTTTTCGGAGACTAGTCGTAATTTTTGTAAGGGTAATTGTTTTAAAATATCCCGCATGGAAAAATATATATGCGAAAAATATATACAAATATATATTTTCACATATATTTTTTTTGCGCTAAATATATGTCCGCATATATGTTCACATATATGTGCGCATATAAGTGTCTAAAGATACACAGAAAAAAATTTAACTTGAATCAAGAAAATAATTTTGAAAAATTTAACTTTCTTGATTTGAGTAAAAAAATTCTCAAATTTAAAAATTTTTTTTTCAGTGCATGCTTACATATATGTCTACATATATGTAAGCATGTATCTCTGCATATATGTCAGCATCTATGTGAAAAATATATGTTGGCATATTTTTTTTTTGCGTAAATATATGCGGCATATATATTATATATGCGACATATATTTTTGACATATATATTTCTCCATGCGGGTAAAATTACAAATTTATAGATTTTTTATTGGATGCTTTTATTATTTTTAACTTTGCGGGATATGATTTGGACGTTAAATTTTTATACGAAGTTTGGAATAAGAGTTTGAGTAATAAAATTACTTCTCTTGGTACTGAGGTTTTAAGTAGAATTATATCATTGAAAATTAATGGTTTTTCTACAGTAATATAGTAATAATCTATGTAATTAAGAGAGTAAAGAAAATTTAAACTCTGATGTATTTATCTAATGAAATGGGTTTTTTCAGTTAAATTTAGTATAATTGAAAAGGTACTGATGGATGCATGGAACTATATTTATATATGGTTGAACAAATTTTTTAACATTAATCGGGTAGTTCCGCTTTTCCCATTTTAAATTATAAAAATAAAGTCCAATAAAATCTATTACAAAATCTCAATAACTTTTTTAGAAGACTATTTGTCATAGAATGTATCTTTTATTTATTAAACCAATTATTAAACCATAACAAGAGTGCTTAAAGCACTGATATCTGTAATTTTATAATGAAACTTTTGTTGACTTGCTCAATAAAACCAAAGATAAAATTATAAATTGCCAGCCATGTCGAGGCATCTAAATGATAAAAGTTATGGATATGTATTTTATCTTTTTCCTGGTAGCTATCAATGAAAGTTTTATTATTTCGCCCTCGTGTACTATCACTGGATATTTTATTTTAAATTTTAGCACTTCTACCATCTCGTCATTTATAAATGTGTCTGTCCGCATCGCGGAATAAAAGACAGAGGAAACAAGGTTACGGATAAAAATATTCAGAGCTCTTTTACCAATTATTTCGTTTTTATCATGACAATCAAAGTTATATTTTTATTTTTAAAACTCTAATAAAGGTCATCTTTTTTTATGTTCAATGCTATACGTTATAACAGGACACAAAAGACTTTATCAGTAGAGCTAAATAAGACATTGTCAGCCAAAATTTACGATTCATTGATTTAAAATTAATTCCTTTAAATAATGTAAACGTTATGAAGAAAAAAATTGACACCACTTGAAAAAAGTTTACTTGATAGAAAATAATTTTTTTGTCATCTCAAAAATTTTTCAGTGGATGAAATTAACCTTGAAATTTTTTTCAACAAAATAAAATAATTTTTAACAGAATTATTATTGGGACATATTTTCATCAATTAAATATTATTATTATAACTTTGATAGGTTCTATATTTTGAAAAAAGTATATTTTAGAATAAAATTGAATGCTTATTCAATTTAGTTGATTTAATTTATTTTTAAGGTTGTTTCACTTGAAAAGTTATTTAGAATAATAGCTAATAGTAAAAAAATTACGAATACATTTTTACAAATTATATTTAACTAATTGCATAAAATTTTATTAAAATCATAATTGTATATATGTTTGTTAGAATAAACTGTAATTGAACGAAAGCTGATTACTGACATGTGTAATTTTTTATACAGCTGAGCAGTTTTCAGCAATTGCAGTGCTGACTCAGTCTGTGTGGATAATACCGTTAGTTAAATTAATTTTTACTGAAGATTCCGGTAAATTTTTCAGTAGTTTTAGTAATAACATTTTATTTTAATGTAATTTTTAATTTTAATTATTATTTTTTATCGACCGTAATTTAATTATACATTAAAGTTCTATCGCCTTGCGATCAA